CTCTTTGGACTACAATACTGGTTGTGTGCTGGTGACATTTATTCATCTTTATGCCGTGTGGCGGCGCCATCCGCAGGTCACTACAAGCACCCCCCTCATTCAACTTTGGGTTTTTCCGGTAAGGAGTGCGACAAGGTATCTTTTTGTTTGTCTCATTTTTTCTAAACAGACTAATGATTTTAGGGCTGCATCCAGATCTCACCAGAGCTGAATACAGATCTCACCAGAGCTAAATACAGATCTCACCAGAGCTAAATACAGATCTCACCTGGCTGCATTCAGAATCTGGACGCAGCCCGGTGACATCTGGACTCCAGATCCCACCAGGCTGCTTACAAATCTCACCAAAGTTGCGTACAGAACTCACCAGGCTTCGTACAGATGTCACCAGGGTTGCTTATTGGGTCTCTGCAGCGCTGCATACAGATGTCACCAGGGCTGCATTTCCGTCTCTCCAGCGTTGCATACAGATGTCACCAGGGCTGCATATTGGGTCTCTCCATGGCTCTACAGGTGCTGTGCTGAGTGAGTGCCTGTCTCGTGCCCGCTCCAAGGCTGTATTCGCAGTGTGGGGCTGCCTCGAGCAGTGCCTGCGTCAGGAAGGAGGAGGAGGGCATGTGGGACCTGGCAGGCAGGGTCAAAGACAGCTACTGCAAGGTCCCCGGAAGGCTGCTTCAGTATCCCACAAGCGTGGGACCTGAGGCGGCCGATCCGACGTAAAAATGTAAAGGGCCAGTATCGGGGCATTTTCACGAGTACAAGTACTCGTGAAAATGCCCTGTATCGGCCCCAATACCAACACTAGTACTACAGTGTACTACAGTGACGCACCCTTCCATATTTGTCTCATTCAAACAGGCACACTTTTGCTAGTCATATATTAAATTACATTTCAATTTTGAATTGCAAAAAACAATACTGGTTGATCTAGCTGCGCTCCCCACCCTCCAACTCAACCTAGTGGTCACAAATGTGGCCCTTTTAAGTTGGACACCACTGATATAAATGATAGATGAATGGGAAGGGTAATAAGGATACCCGTGAGAAGAAATTACATACATCAAGGGTTATTTGATAAGAGTTTGGTAAAATAAAGGAATACCTAATAAAAAAAAAGTTCAGAAAATCTGCTTTCTAGCACCAGTTCACTCCAGTCCCTTTGGCCAGGAATCTGGTGATCCGAGAACCCATGTGATGTCAAGAATGAAATATCTTTTCTGCTAAGAAATGTAACCACTTGTTGTCAGTCATCCCATTTGCAGCACATTGACATCTACTGTATGTGATCTTAATAAGAGGATTGTCAACAAGCAGTTAAATCTCTCAGTAGCAAAGAGATTCTTCTGTGAAGCCCTAGGCTAAGAAGTTTCCGCACAGCCACCAGCCTGATTCAAACCTGCCTTGCAAGTTTTAATGTGATTAGTGATAAAGGAAGGGGGAGGAAAGGGGAGAGCGAGAGAAAAACAAAGAAAGAAAAAGATTGAGAGACATAGGCAAAGAAAGAGAGACAAAAAGATGAATAGCAGGGGCCTCTGCAAGTACATGCCCTGTGATCTTGCTCCATGGATTGATGTGGCAGGGGATTAAAGAGAACTCAAACTAAAGCTGGCCAAACACTGTTCAAATTTCGTCCAAGTCCTGTTGGTGCCAAAATTTGAGCAGCGTGACCCCTGCAGCACCCCTTCATTCGATAAAGGTCATTTTTGCAATTGACTTTAGTTGAAGGAGTCAGTCCAAAAATTCTTGCCTGAGAGCCCATTCACACCAGTTGCAGTGCGTTCCGGCCCGATTCTGGCCAGAACGCATTACCTCGCATTGCGGCCTGCTCACTTTTTAGTGGGGCAGGAGGGGGCGTGGCGGGCCATTGAAATAATTGGCACCATAGCCACGCCCTCCGGCCGCAATGCGATCGCCCGCACGGGATCACAAGGCGCATTGTGCCTGCGGTCCGGTCCAGTGCGGTGAAAATAGTGCTTGCAGCATTTTGATCGCACCGGAGCGCAGGCACAATGTGCCTTGCGATCCCGTGCGGGTGATCGCATTGCGGCCGAAGGGCGTGGCTACGGTGCCATTCACTTCAATGGCCTGCCACGCCCCCTCCTGCCCCACTAAAAAGTGAGCCGGCCGCAATGCGAGGCAGTGCGTTCCGGGCCAGAATCAGGCCGGAATGCACTGCAACTGGTGTGAACGGGCCCTGTACAGTGACTGCAGCCAATCAGCTGTAGTCACTGTTTGGGTAATGCAATAGCTCGGCGGCAGCGCACAAAACACAATATATTGCCCACATTTTTGGTAAAATATAAAAGAAGGGTTTGCGTTGGGTCAATAGATTCCAAATATGCCAAGCCCAAGCTGCATGTGTCCGTGAAACACAAAAGAACTATTGTAACAAAATAAATTGTCTAAATTGACAAAATTGCTTTAACCCTTACGCTACCAGCGGCATAAGGCATACGTCACTGCCAGCAGGCACCTCTAAACAAGCTAAAGCTGCCAATACACTGTTCAACTGTGTAAAGCTGTGGTCGGGTTTTCAATGGAGGTGATTCTGGCAGCTGAGTTTCCACCAGATCGGTTTCTGGGGCCAGTGAAGTGTGCCCCCCTGCTTCTCCGGTTCCTTTGCCTCTCCTACGACACTTGGCAGGTAGAGTGGACAGAGACTGACGGACGTCCATCCACCAATCTCCTCTCCACTGAATGGAGCCGGAAGTGACGCTGATTGCATCACTTGCGGTTCCGCAGCTGTTCCCAGCTAGAGAAGCCAGGGAAGAAGCTATCCAAGCACGATCTGCGCTTGAATAGCTTCTTTGCAGTAGAAAGGTGACACTAGGGGTCTAATAGACCTGACACACACGTTTGCATTTGTATTTGCATGTACGTGGGGGCAGGGGACTTGGACTTTTGAATTTTTTTTTGTGTTTTTCATCTTATTAACTTTATTGCCATCACAAGGGGGATGATAAGCCCCCTACGTGATAGCAAAGTGCAGGGGACAGGTTCTCTTTATTAGACACCCAATGTCACCCCTGCATCGTGTTGAAGCTGACTGAGCACAGAATGTGTTAAATCAGTATCTTCCGCAGCAGCCCAGGAATGACAGTTCTGAACAATTCGGAAGTGTTTACTGCTGAGTAGATGAAGCAGGGTCTATTTATAAACAATCTAGAGAGCCATTTGCCCTGTGAATCTGTGAATTTTCATGCTGTGTTAAAACGAACGTTCCTAGTATATTTTCTTTTTAGGTCGAATGTAACTTAATGTAATACCGCATTATGACCACTAGATGGATAGTTATTTCTTATGCTTCTCCACCCCATCAAGTGGCCATCATACGGTATTACATTACATTCGACCCTAAAAGAAAATAAACTATGAATCTTTGTTTTTGCCTCTGTTCACACAGAACGAACATTCAGGATTTTCAGGGTGAATGGCTCTTGAAATGGTTTATAAATAGACCCCTATGTGTTGTCAGTTAGACAGAAGCAGTCAATACATAAGCAGGCAACCCCTCAAATCATCCGGGAAATACACTATATTGCCAAAAGTATTGGGACGCCTGCCTTTACACGCAAATTAACTTTAATGGCATCCCAGTCTTAGGCTAGGTTCCCACCTAGGCGTACGGAATATGCGCATGTGCTGCGCGTTTTTACTGCGATTTGCGGTAAAAGAAACGTGCGACAAACGCGCGTTTGAGGCCTATCCGGCTGTATCCTGATGGATACGCGCGGTAAATACGCCCTAAAGAAGCTCCTGTACTTCTTTGGGAGTAGGGCGTTTTGCAGCACGTTCCTACGCACTGTAAAACGCCCAGGTGGGAACCATGCCCATAGGCAATCATTGGTTTTCACATGTTGAGAGTTTTACAGCGCGTAGGAACGCGCTGTAAAACGCCCAGGTGTGAACCAGGCCTCAGTCCGCTAAAATAGCTGCAACTCTTCTGGGAAGGCTGTCCACAAGGTTTAGGAGTGTGTCTATGGGAATGTTTGACCCTTCTTCCAGAAGCACATTTGTGAGGTCAGGTAGTGATGTTGGACAAGAAGGCCTGGCTCGCAGTCTCTGCTCTAATTCATCCCAAAGGTGTTCTATCTGGTTGAGGTCAGGGCTCTGTGCAGGCCAGTCAAGTTTTTCCACCCCAAACTCACTCATTCATGTCTTTATGGACCTTGCTTTGTGCACTGGTGGGCAGTCATGTTGGAACAGGAAGGGGCCGTCCCCAAACTGTTCACACAAAGTTGGGAGCATGAAATATGCAATATGCTGATGCCTTAAGAGTCCCCTTCACTGGAACTAAGGGGCCAAGCCCAACCCCTGAGACACATAATCCCTTCAGAGCACATTCTACACCCCTCCACCAAACTTTACACAATGCAGTCAGGCAAGTACCGTTCTCCTAGCAACCGCCAAACACGTTCATCAGATTGCCAGACAGAAAAGCGCGATTCGTCACTCCAGAGAACACGTCTCCACTTCTCTAGAGTCTGGCGGCGGCGTGCTTTACACCACTGCATCCGCAAACCCACGCAAGCACAGGGAGAACAATGCAAACTCCTTGCAGACAGTGACCTGGCCGGGATTTGGACCCGGGGACCACCAGTGCTGCAGGGCAGAAGCGCTAACCACTATGCCACTGTGCTGCCCACAGTTGATGTGTAAACATACGGCTCATCATGGTTTGGGACTTCGTATCCAACTTACTTGCTTGTTTGTCCCTACTTCCCTTACTCCACTTCACATTCTCCCTTATACCTTCCTCCTCCACTTAAAATCAATAGTTTTTGATCATAATCCTGTTCAGTGTTGGAATAGCGTTATTGACATCTCTTGTGGTAATGTCTACAGTATACACACACGTTGAAGTTTTGTGTTACTACTACCTAACATGGTTTACTTGTTGTGGTTCTGTTTTTTTAAATTCTGTTACCTTTTTTTCTAAAACTTTAAATAGAGAATTACAAAAAAATCTGGATCTAGCAAATGAAAAGAAAATCAGTTATGAGTAATAATGTACTATACATTTTATTTTACAGCATTAACTTAATTCTCTCTAGAAATCAAATTCAAAATGGACATAGTACAGTGAATACAAGAACATAGGGCAAAGAGACTAAGAGGAGCATTATGTCACATTAAAGTTGGTGCTGTCCCTGGATTTTTGGATCACAGTTATTCGAGGGTTTTCGACTTCACACTTTTTACGAAGGACATGGCCCAATAAGCTTATTGAGAAACGCTTCAACCTGATCTTCATCTTTGACTCCCACAAACTGATCCACAACACTGCCATTCTTCATGGCAAGAACTGTTGGCACAGCGCTGACCTGCAGAGAAAAAAGGGGACAATAACTATGAAATGTTTTTCTAACTACACACAAGTCAATTATGGGGTTCATGTTGTCATGCAAAAGCTGATTACATAACTACAAGGATCCTCATAAATATGGCTGTGCTAAAAATTAATTTGTCATTCATTCATATAATTTGCACAAACAAGTGTATAAGACGACTCAGATGGAAGCAGACGATTCCCGATAGGTGCAACAACCTATTTCTTGGGCAATAAAGCTAAACTTGTTCACTGAATTACTGCCCTGATCCGACTATGTAGTATATGATTTAGGGAAGCTAAAAAGAAATGGCAACTGCTCCAAATAATATACGTAGACACCACACTGTCTCCAGGCCCCTCTGTTAAGTGTGGTCCATACCTCTAGTCTATGAGAGCCACCATGCTGAGGCATATGTAGCAAATAATAAATTAAGTGCAGGTAAGCCTGGAGGTAGCCTACAGCTACTAAGGACCCATAGTATGTCTCTGCGTCAAATCTGGGGTCTTCAGCAGTGTGGCTTCTAAGTATATTTGCAAATATCTGCAACTAAAACCTCTGTTTTTAACCTAAATTGTTAAACCGTGTAAATGTGCTTTTTGCTGGTTAGCTGGTAAGTGGGCTGGGAAAAGTTTATATTGTGTTTGTTCTATGATTTAGGGAAGGGCTGCTTTTATGGAATCCTCTAACATTGGTGTCAAAACACCATTATATGCAAATACACACAAATAAGATCCTGGCATTTATCTGTTTAGATCAGTCAAGAGAATCAAAGCGGATGGATAATGTTCACAGTTCACCATGGTTTTTATCAAATAACATGCAAATCGTTGGTCAAATCAAGTAGAAAAACCAGGTACAGTATATGAACCTCATAGAACAAGCTGTTGAGCATGGATGAAGGAATGTGTTAGATTTCTTTTGTTAAGCCTGTAGGTTGAACAGAAAAAAAATCTATTAGTTTATGCCAGCTTTACTGACATTGTATGGTACTTGGGTAGATGTGCACCAGAGGACTGTTAAATACCGACCATTTTGCTGGATAGCATTGTATGAAGAATGTTTTGTTTATTGTTTTTTTAACAGTGGTACTTTTGTTTTTTTCCCCATCTATATTTTTTATTGAGCAGTAGAAAAATGACAGCAGTAATAAACCATACATTTCATTAGTATGTATAAACAACGTAAAACATTGCTGTACAGGAGGTGCTCATTACATTCTGATAAGGTGATAGATGCACATAAAAAGGTTCTAAGGAGGTACAGCACGTGAGCAAAAAATGGGTCTGTCTGGGCACATCCTGAGGATGAGTTGGTTAGATTGTGGGTATGAGAGTTAGCCTATGAGGGGCTGGAGTCCAGCATCAAGCTGGTGCCCAAAGCTTCCCATTTGTGAGCTCAGAGGGAGCCGCGCCATCAAGGTGAGCTATCATGCATCTTTAGATACGCTTATGATTAGATGTAGTAGAGGGGTAAGAAGGGCGAAAGAGGGGGCTGGAGAGGAAAAGATCAGAAGGAATGTTTTTTTAAGTCATTCAGCTTGTGTAATCCTCTTTGTTCTATTAGGAAATGTTTGGCTATGCTATACCTTTAGCATGGGCCTGGTAGTCTGACATGTAATTCAATTAGCTGTGTATAGTACGGTGTCACATTCATGTGTTAAGATATTTTTTTATTTTGCAAATGAGTTGATAATTATAAGCTCCTTCACCTACATTACACAAAACAGAGGTTTGATTTATGGATACAGGATGCTGCAATCTCCCAAATCCAGTTTGACAGGAATCTCAAATAACCGCACCAGAAGGAGTGCATATGTGAGATTACTACACACATTGATTATCTCACTGCAGGCTGCATATTCTAAACTAAAGTCCTGGATCAACAGAAGATAAAAATTAATGCATAAAGGCACATTACCTATAGTCATACACAAGGGACCAAACTGCTCAGACTGGTGGCACAGTTACATCCATGTCTATAGCACATTCCACATCCCTTATTTAGCTTTAAGGCTGGAATTAACATTTAGCTTTAAGGCTGGAATTGACATTTGTGTGTGTATATATCTCCAATTTAATATACTGTATCACTGGTACCATACTCCTGAATTCTTGCACTCTTTTAACCCAAATATTCCGAAAATACATTGTAATTGACAGACAGGTAGCCTGTCACCTTTCCTGGAAGTTTGAACAACTTTCTAGATTGTCGTCATGTGCCTCTTGTGTTAGCAACATGCCTCTTAGATCTTCTAATAGTTTATCCAAGATCTCAAAAATACTGCTCATGCATGTCCTAGTAGCAGACCAATTAACTTTAAATTCTTACTCGTGTTTGACAATAGCAATAAAGTCTGAGAACTACTGTAGTAGTTGCATGACAACTCCAAGTGTGAACAGATACAACTTTTACCTGGTTCTTTACTGATGCCGCTGCTTTCTTCCTATGCAAACCAAGAAGGCCATACACTAATACAGCTTTTCTCAACTAGGGTGGCTTGACATTTCAGGATCCCCCCGTTAAATCCACACCAGACCCCTCTCTGGGATAAGGCCACACATCATTTTTTACATTTTAGATTGGGGTGCCTCAAGATTTTGCCTACTTTTAAAAGGGTGCCAAGACTGAAAAAAAGATTGTGAAACACTGATCTATTAGATCCCACAGTGTGGGGAATCCACCCCGCTAGGCTATTGTATTCTGACAATGGTGGTGTCACAATACACAAAGAGTGACTGCAGCTGACTGCGTGCAGTCACTGTTCTGCCCCAACATTTTCAACATGGCTCCATCAACAAAGGTCAACTGAGGAAATCAAACAAATGTTCTAAAAACTATTTTTTTTGCCAAACTAGATTCTACTGGTGTATGGGCAGCTTTAGAGGGGAATGAACAATGCTAAGCCCCTCATTTTTCTCAGGGCTGGTTTCCTTCCACCTGCAGGCAAACACTTCAAATCAAACTAGAAATGATGAACTAGCAAATATCAAACAAACTAATTTCCAACATGAAAGAAAATCATTCTCAGCTGAAAGTCATAAACTTTAGACCTCAGGCTCACTGAAAACACACTGAGGGGAATTTATCAAAACTGGAGCAGACAGATTCTGGAGCAGTTGCCCAGGGCAACCAATCAGCTTCAGTTTGTTCCGTTAAGATTTGAAAATGAAAGAGAGAAGCTGATTGGTTGCTGTGCACAGCTGCTCCAGATTTGGTCTACACCAGTTTTGATAAATTGCCCTCACTGTCTAAAGTGACACATTTATAAAATGATTATTATTAGAAGCAGCCTTTGCACTGGCTTTTTATGCAGAATCTCTAGTATGGTTACCACTTTTCATATACATTTCTTAAGCTGGCCACACACCTTGCGATAATCGTACGATAATCGTGGGAAATCCCGCGATCGTACGATTATCGCAAGGTGTGCGACCTTTGCTACTGTAAGGTTGCACGACTTTATCTTAGGACCATGTTCGAAAACCCGCCGAGAATCGTACGATTGTCGGCTGGTTTGTGGCATGTTCGTAAGATAAATGCTGCACGGGCCAGTTTGCGCAAGCGCACACTGCCCGTTCATCATTGCGGTCATTGGAAGCCCGCCCCTCAGCGGGGTGGGCTTGCGATCATCGCAAGTACGATCTGCCTGTCCAAGATAGGGAGATCGTACGTTTTTTTAAATTACCTTACAACCATTGCAAGACAAAAGTGGTTGTAAGGTGTGTGCCCAGCATTACACACACTCCAAGACTAGTACTCAACATACTCTTTCAGAAAAACACTCCTAATCCACCTGGAGCTTGACAAATTACACTGCTCAAATTTTCCACTGACTCGGGCAGAATTCAAGCTGTGTGTGGCCCAGCCGGCACTACCTGACCCGACAATTGAAGGAGATGTGTGGAAAATTGTTGGCCAAACAGTGACTGTAACAGACTGGCATTATTTCAGTATTCTGACTGCAGCAGGAACCAACTGTCAGAATATAATAGCCCAGCAGGGGAGATTTGCCAATCCACGTGGTTTAGGAATCTGTTAACGCCCACAGGTTGAATTAAAAAAAATCTGGGAGGTGTATGGCCTGCTTTACCATGAAGCACATCTCTTGCCAACACTACATTGGGGAGGGCGAGAAGATGGAGGGGAATATACAAAAACCACAACCACCGGCCAAACAGTACAAAAGAGTGCATAACGCAATACCTCGGTACCTACATACAAACCAAGGAAAGTGGAAAGAAAGGAGAGAGAACAACCAAATGTTGCTCTAGCAAGAGCAACCTAAGTGACTGCTTAGATCAATGCTGGTAAAGACAGGCATCGCCAGTGTGATCACCCTTGGCGCCATGGGTGCACAAGAATGCCAAACCTGGGCTTGTAGCGACTTCCTCATTAGGGGATGTGTTTCAACTCAAGAGAAGAACAGAGAAGGGAAGAGACACTTCAGGTCACTTTCCATGGCAATTCAGCAGTATGTCCTGGGTACTGGTGAAGCACAAATAGCAGGAAGCAAGTTAGGAGACCAAGGAAAAGTTTCAGGTCCCATTCACACCAGATGCTTTGGCATCCATTTTGCAACGTATGCCAGTCTCACCATTTCCCATTGTCATTTGGAGGTTCGTAAAGTAACCCTGTGGTATTCCTTCTCCCGTTTAAATAAAACGGGTAGTTCATTATACTTACAAGTTGTTTTGACACTAAATATATTAGTTATGTATACAGTGTGTGTGTGTGTGTTGGTCTATAATGTATGTAAAGATTTAAGTTAACTTTAAACATCATACAATTATAATGGGAAATAAATACCTCATACTCAAGAGCAAGGTCTGTATTATCATCTATATCCACCTTTGCCATTAACACCTTTCCCTGGTGCTTGGCAACTGCTTTCTCTAATCGAGGAGCCAATAGCTTACAAGGACCACACCACCTGAGGAGAAAATGATAAGCGGTCACGTTTAATTTAACCCTTACTAAAACTACCTATACTTCACATGATCTAGTAATAATTATACAGCATACATCTATAAATATCTATTAACTATAGATTTACTACACGTCGGCACTTTTAATAGACACCTTCCAAGGCCTGCACATCAGTAAACTCCTTGGATACCCAGAGTGCTTTTACATGCATTTTTGGGTTTATCAGTAGCCTAGCCCTGAACTTTAACCAATTCAAAGACTAAGTCCATAGCTTCCTATAATTCACTTTATAAAACTTAAACCAAGATGTAGACCTGGGAGCCAATTAGGTATGCTGCATGCATATGTGCTGTCGAGGAACACATTGGAGGAGAGAGTTTAGTGAGGAGAGTGTATCAGTTTGCCTTCACTGTCTCATCACAAACTGGAACAGGGAGGAAACAAGGCAGTATTGCTTAAAGGAAAACTATGAGGTGAGTGAAAATCACTCATCCTCATAGTTCGAGCCGACGTGTGAAAATGAAACGGTCACACATCAGCTCAATAGATCGGGAAGTGAGCGAACACATACCGTCGCTCGCTCACTTCTCGATCATCTCCTTGCTGAGAGAAGTGAGTGTCAGTCACGGCTGCCTGCAGGGGTTCTCCCCCTCCCCGATCCTCCAGCGCTGACTGGAGGAACGGACGGGGGAGGGGACGGGTACAGCTGGCTCTACGCAGCCGGGTGGATCTCGACAGTAATGTCGGGATCCGTCACAGCTTTGGCGGTCTCAGCATACTGCGAGCTGTAGCTCGCGATATACTGAGCTTTGAGTCACAGGAGGACGCTAGTTTATGTCCTCCTGTGACCTTTAAGAGAACTATGGGAAAAAACACTTACCCCACAGTTCTCTTTTAATAGCAAAAGCAAGTTCACCAACCTGGCTCTACTGTCTGGCAAATGTTTGCAAATGTGAGCCCAGACACACAAATCCTTTGGCAGTTAAAGAAACTCCCACCTATGTACGTTAAAATGTTTTCCTGAAATGTAGTTTTTCTGTAGGTACAGCTCTATCAGAAATGACATTTTAAATTTGTTAGATATACAAAATGTTCATATATAGTGAAATATTATTTTATGCACCATTATTAGAATACGATTAATGTCATTACTATTTAACTCACTGAGCATGGAAATCCACCACCACTGGAACCTCACTTTCAATAACCCGTTCCTGAAAGTCATCTTTATTCTGAACACTGAACGTTACTCTGCATGGGGACGAAGTATAAATCTGACGAGCAGTGGTAAATTCAGTAGACCGGGAAGGGGGGAAACGTGGAACATGGGTTCGTGTGCATTTTACAGATACGCTGGAGAAAGATTGTACTTGACTGGTTAGACGTCTTCCAGGCAAGGAAAGGAAACGTTTTAAAACTAACCTCTGGGCCATCTGCAAGAAAAGAAAGACTTGTGTAGTTATATATTAAAACAAACAGATCATGAACAGATACATCAAACTAGCAAAAAAAACTTTCAGAGAAAGGAAGATGGTAAAGCATTAAAGAAGTGGGCAGGTAAAAATGTAACCTTTGCAGTGGGGCTACCTTGACACTGCAAGGGTTAAGTTCTTGTTTTGGTCCCTCAGTGGCGACTGCTCACCTCTCTCTTCTCGGCGCCTTTGAGTCTAATAGACTGTGTTAGACATGATGATGTCACAGGTCCTTAGACAGCTGGTGCCAGGGGGAAAAAGAGGCTCTGTGGACTGGTCTAGTAGCTAGGCGAGTCCAAGGATGGGGTGAGTATATCCTTTTTATTTTACACCCTAGACCAAAACAAGCACTTAACGTGTGGGGGGTAGCCCCACTGCAAGGGTTAATTTTTAAACTACCCAGAGTTCTTTAAATCGTCTGCACATTGCACCACAACTATATTCCCTCTGTTCACAATTCAAAAGCAGCAAATAAAAGAATAAAACTAATTAAATGAAATCCATAATGTGAGTGCAACTGAAAAATATACTCCCATTATGGTTTCTCAGAAGTTTCCGCTTAGGTCTCACATGTTAAAAGGAATATTTCATCTTTTGCAAAAGATTAATAAATGCACCGGCACCGATTAAAAAAAAAAATTGTGCATTTATTAGTTTTTTGATTTGTTGCCTGCAAAGCATTGCAACCTTGATCAGTGAATCACAGGTGCTGTGCACAGGCTCCTGCAGACTATTCCCTCAGCCCAGGTCTGTACCGAGGTATGGAACTTCGGTTACAAGGCTGAAGAAAGTTATCAATGGACTACAACTGGGGTGACATTACTGCACATGTGATCCAATGAGATGCACAGGTCAGGGGTGTGGAATTCATATCGCCCGACGCCCGGTACATGTAGTTCCGGGCAAGTGGTTTTTGCACTGTTTTAGCCCTGCTACGGGCTGGCTTTCTTTGAGCGCCGAGAGCGGCGCAACGAGCGGGGGGCGTGGAGCGCCGAGACCGGGGACGGAGCGGGGGGTGGGGACGAAGCGTTGAATGAGATGGGGACGGAGCAGAGGGCGTGACGGAGCGAGCGGCCTGGTGCCGTGCCGGAGCAGGGGGCGGGGGCGATTATCACAGGAGTTCTAGCAACAGTGCTATGCTAGAACTCCTGTGTTGGAGGTGACAGGGTCAATAAAGAGTACCTGTCACCTCCAAATGCTATTACACAGGGGATTATTATTCCCTGTGTGATAGCAATACAATAAAAAGTTTTTTTTTTAAATAGTTAAAAAGAAAAAGTAAAAAATATTAAATTAAAACCAGCCCCACTGCCCCCATCTGCACGAGAATAAACGTGCAGTGTTTTCAACTGCAATCGTGTGCAACCGCACTGGCGCTGACAGTACGATCGGCGGTGGTGTGCGATTCCGTGACCACCCAGCCATCCGCTCGGTTTCGTGCATGATGACCGGTCAGTCACAGATCATACACCACCGCCGATCGTGCTGTCAGTGCCATTATTTTCTAATGGCACCCCAGTCATCCGCAGGCAGATTGCGCGTTTTCCTACTGCGTTTTACTACTGCAATACCGCCGCAGGCGATCACGGTTGAAAACACTGCGCGGTGCATGTCGTGAAAATAGGTACATCTACCTTTTTTCAGCGATTGCCACGCAGATGTAACCCCATACATGCGGATGCAACCGCTGTATGCAACCACACACGATCGCACGTCCTGGGAATCCCCAAGTCTGCACCAGCCCTAAAGGGTAAATTCACTTTCCCAAGTAATTTGGGAAAACGGAATTACCCGCACAAATCTCCCTCCCACTATACTTACCTTTCAGCAAACGGTCCTTCCCATCTACCAGTACGGGTGTACTATCTGTACCTGTTCCATGTAGTCTGAATTTCGCTCGCAAATTGCAAGCACTCGTTGGTCAACGCAGTCACCTGACGGCACTGACCAATGAGAAGCGCTTCTTAGCGATGCTAAATACGGTTTTGGTTAAAATTATTATTTTTGTATCAGGACAAGTAGATTCGGCCCCCGCTTTAGTCCTCGGACAAGTAGTTTTTTCCAAAATTTCCACACCCCTGACAAGTCCTTCCACAGTGGCAGATGGCACCAGTAGTCTATTCATTTACAGATCCTGTGAATAAATGAATGAATGATCTGGGAATCAAGTTATTAATGGACTACAACTGTGGTGCAAAGTAAGTGGCACCAACAAGGAAGAGCTGGAAGAACATTTTGCAACTAATTAAGGTTAATTGGCAACAGGTCAGAAACATGATTGGGTATATAAAGTGCATCTTAAGGTGCCCATACGCTGTATGATTATCGTATGATCATGGCGGGAAATCCTGAGATCGTACGATAATCGCAAAGTGTATGGAAGGCTTGCAACCGTTTCTACTGTACAATCGCACGTCTTCCGTCGAACAAGCAGGCTTGAAAACCCGCCGGTTAGTGGCGTGCTTTTTCGACAACTGTCGAACGGGCCGATGAGCGCACGCGCACACTGCCCGCTCAGCATTGCAGTCGACGTACACTGTACGTCGTCAGTCACGAAGGGGTTAAATTACTTTACAACCCTCGCAAGACACAAGTCTTGCGAGGGTTGTACAGTGTATGGCCACCTTTAGAGAGCCAGAAGTAGATGGGCAGAGGTTCACCAATCTGTGAAAAGCAGCGTCTAAAAATTGTCGAACAATTTCAGAATAATGTTTCTCTACGTAAAATTGTAAATATATTAATAACATATCATCTACGGTACGTAATATCAAAAGATTCCACGAATCTGGAGAAATCTCGGTGCGCAAGTGGCAAGGCCGAAACGCAATATTGGATGTCCATGATCTTCGGGACCTCAGATGGCACTGCATTAACAAAACAGGCATGATTCTGTGATGGCGAATACTGTATGGGCTCAGGAATACCCCCAAGAATCACTGTCTGAGAACATGCAGAGAACAAAAGCCTCCATTTCTGATGGTATGGGGGTACATTAGTGCATATGGAATGGGCAGCTTGCACATCTGGAAAGGCACCATCAATGCTTAAAGATATATTCAGGATTTAGAGCAGCATATGCTCCCATTAAGATGACATCTTTTTCAAGGAAGGCCTTGCATATTAACTGCTTAGCTTGCCTGCCTGCAGTCCAGACCTTTCACCAATTGAAAATATTTGGCACATCTTGAAACTAAAAATACGACAAAGACCCAGGACTGTTGAGCAGTTAGAATCCTATATTAGGCAAGAATGGGACAACATTCCTCTCCCAAAACTCCAGCAACTGGTCTCCTCAGTTCGCAGACATTTAGTCTCCGCTCACACACAGCAGTTTGAATTCAGTGCGGTTTTCTACGCGTTTGTCTGTGCGGCACGACATGCGCACATTGACATACGCACGAGTTCTGCACGTTTGCAGCTACTACTATACCCGGAACGCACGGAAGTCGCCCAGAATATTGCAATTGTACTTTTTTGCGTGATGCGCATTTTGTGCCATGCAGACGGCACGCAGGTGTGAACAACCTACATTAGAATGTATTTGTTTTGAGTTTTGCGAGTTGCGCTAATGTCTGAATGGAGCCTGACAGTGTTGGTAAACGAAAAGGAGACGCTACACTGTGGTAACCATGGCCCTGTCCCAACTTTTGTGAGACGTGCTGCTGCCATCAATTTCAAAATTACCTTATTTTTTTCTTAAAATGAGCCATTGTCTCTGTTTAAGCATTTGATATGTTTTCTATTTTCTATTGTGAATAAAGTTTGGATTTATGAGATTTGCAAATGATTGCATTCTGTTTTGTCCCAACTTTTTGGAATTGGGGTTGTAGTTCCTGTACTAAAAACAGACATTTCTGTGGGATCTCTATGAAGATATTTTGTAAAGTGACAAGACACCCGGTGATTGTTACCACTTTTTAAAATATTTGATTTATGTTATTTAAACCAGAACACTATAATGATTCTTCGGTTATAAAACAATCCATAATTATACTTTAAAGGATAGCTTAACCCAAAACCAAACATTTTATATATATTGCAGCTTACCAGTCCTTCGATGTGGTAGCTTCAAGTACTTAAAGGATAATTAAAGCCTCAGGTTTTTTTTGCATATATCTAACGCTAGCCAATCAGTAGATATATGCAAAATGTGTAAAAACAAAACCGCTTTGAAAAGGGTTAATACTTACCCGTGACTTTCCTGTGCGCTCCCGTCCGAAAATGTGAACATTTTTGGGGCGGCCGCAAAGCATCTTGGGGCGGGCGCATGAGGAGATCACATTTTCGGTTGGGACGCGAGGAGAGACACAAGGTAAGTCTATGGACGCGTGCACCCGCATGCAGACACCGTGGGACAGGAAGTGCCAGCAAGGACAGAGGAGTGAGCGCTGAATCGGAGACCGGCTGTACCGCTGGAGGGACAGATGAAAAGGACAGAAAAGAAGATCGGATTAAGAAACATGATTTAAAGTAAGTGCTGACATCAACATTGGGGGGGGGGGGGGGGGGAAGGGAAAAAATGTTTGCCTTTAAATGTCACTTTAAACTCTTTATTTTGTCAGAATTCTAGTGTCCTTCTAACTGTGTCTGCACTGAACCGATATATCAAATAATGTTATTCGTTTTCTCAGCTACCTTCTGTGAACTACAAAAGAACATCCTCCTATGTAATGGAGATGATGAGTGCAGGACGAGATAGTAGTCCAAAACAAGAGTTGCCTATGACAACCACTGCTCCCTCTATAGATACAGTACAATGTATACCGAGTATACCGACCCTAGCACAGGACGGCCAGGGGAAAATAAAAAAAACCCTGAAAACGAGAAACAAATTCAGCCACCACATCAAAGGACTATTAAGCTGCAATATATCACATTTATGTTTTTGGCTTTAGATACGCCTTGTGCAATACGTGGGAACAATTTATATATGACTGACCACCTTTGTCACACATTTTGGCAGATCACGGCCCATATCTATCAGCATACGTATAAGAACTGACCAAGTGCAAAAGAGAGATCCAAATGATGGAGAGGAACCCGTTTTGGTATTAAACTGTAATACTATTACCTCTTTTTGTTAATTTGTAACATTTATTGGTCATGTACAAAAGATCATCTGACTGTATGTTCATGGTATATAGCACCATCTAGTGTTGCTTTAGCATTTTATTCCTCATTTGTAACCACTTATTTTTTTCCAAATAGTCATCTTTTTTTTAATAGTTCATTTTCTTTTAGTTTGTAAGCGTGACTTTTTATGATACAGACATTTTAACCACTTGATGGCTAGAGGGTTTACACCCCCTTCCTGGCCAGGCCATTTTTCAGTATTCAGCGCTGCAGTACTTTGACATTTATTCCGTCATGCAACGCAGTACTGAAATTAATTTTATACCATTTTCTAGGGACACATGGAGCTTTCTTTTGGGGGTATTTAATCACCACTGGGGGGTTTTATTTTTTACTAAATAATGAAAAAACTACCGAATATTTCCCCCAAAAAACGCTTTCACTGCATCATTTTAAAAAACATTTATATTTACCCAAAGTTTTGATAAAATAAAAAAGATGGCATCATGTCGGGTAAATAGACACGGAACATGTTAAGCTTTAAAACTGCGTGCGCCTGCGAAATCCCAAAAAAGTAAAATACCCAAGCTTTCCCATAGGCAACGCTTTAAAAGCTTTTACTGCTCAAGAGTTTAGTTTTACCAGTAATTAATGGCCCTAGAATTATTGCTCTCACTATGACATCCGTGGCAATATGTAACATGTGTGGCGCAATTTTCATTTTTGCATATAGGCGCATCCAACGCGTGTTTATGTTGTAACGTGGGGTGCGGGGGGCATTAAAAAAATTTTTTTTACATGTTACTTTCATTTTTTTTACACTCAACTTTATTGCGATCACATATGGGGCTAAAAGCAAATATGATGCAACAGGTCCTCTTTATATAGATATCAGCTGCCTTTTAGAGCACTAATGTCACTTAGGGACTCCAAAGAGATCTGCTTCACCAGCTTCTTCTCTAAAAGCCGGAGAATGTGCACAGGGACACTTGAAGTGATGTAATACGCATCACTTCAAGGTCCAGTGATCAGAGGAGCGATCAGCGGTTAGAAGCTTGCTGATCTCCCTCCAATCTATCACGGGAGACCTGCCGTGCCATGTCATACCCCAGCTAAAGCTATTGAAGTGGAAAGGTGACACTAGGGGTCTAATAGCCCCTGTGTGATAGCAATAAAGCAAAGTGAAAAAAATAAAAGTAAAAAAATAAAAAGGCAATACAAAATGAAAAATGTTTTTTTTTTACAAAGTAAAAAAATACAATCGTGCGCGATTTCCATATGCCAGTACATGTGTCCTATCTGTACCTGCGCCATGTAGTCTGAATTTCGTTTGCAAATTTCAAGCACTCGTAGGTCAGCGTGGTCACCTGGCGGTCCTGACCAATAAGAAGCGCTTCCTAGCACTGCTAAATAAAAGTTTTGGTTCATCATTCTTTCAAATCAAATCATTCTTTTGTATCAGGACAAGTAGATTGTCATGAGAGACAAGTAGATCGGGCCCCCACTTTAGTCCTTGGACAGGTAGTTTAAAAAAAAAAAAATGTCCACACCCCTGAGATATATGCAAAAAAGGGGAGAGTTTAATTATACTTTAAAGTAAGGATGTCCCGATACCGATACTAGTATCTGGGCCGATGCAGAGCATTTTCACGAGTACTTGTACTCGTGAAAATGCCCCGATGCCGACGGCCGATACCGGCCCTATAAATTTTTTAATCGGATCGGCCGCCTCAGGTCTCGCACTTGTGGGGTCTTGAAGCGGCCTTCCGGGGACCTGGCACTAGCTGTCTTTAATGCTGCCTGCCAGGTCCTACATCTCCTGATTCAAGGTGCAGGCACTGCTCGAGGCAGCTCCACACCTTGAATACGACCTCGGATCGGACACGTGACCGGCACCCACTCCGTTCGGCTTACTACCGTAGATCGGGCTAAGCAAAAAAGGTACCTGTGAAAGTTCAGGAGTCCAGGAATACGCATTCTAGGAGGGGCTGGAGGGGGTTGGGGACGCTGGGTGTGCAGTACAGCACCTGTCAGAGCCTGTGGAGAGACGCAATAAGCAGCGCTGGAGAGACCCAATAGGCAGCCCTGGTGGGATCTGGACGCAGCCTGGTGGGATCTGGACGCAGCTTTGGTGAGATTTGTATGCAGCCATGTGGGATCTGTAGTCCAGATGTCACCAGGCTGCGTCCAGATTCTAAACGCAGCTTGGTGAGATCTGTATTTAGCTCTGGTGAGATGTGGACGCAGCCCTGGTGAGAAACTGCCCTAAAATTAGTCTGTATTGCTTTAAAAAAATGTCACCTGTCCCTTTAAGAAAAAGTATCAGTAATTGGTATCGGCAAGTACATGAGGGGAAGTACTTGGTCTTGAAAAAGTGGTATCAGGTAGAGCTGCAGCTAACGATTATTTTCAAAATCGGTTAGCCGATTATTAAGTTCGATTAATCGGATAAACAATTAAAAAAATGGCTCCAGTGATGGACTACTAGTTTGTATTGAGATTGTAGTCCATCACAGGTGGGGAGCGTTGATGCGGGCGAGTCTGGCTGATCACACAAAGCAGATCTCCACGCTCCCCATCCTGAAGTCATTTGTTGTGGTCCAGGGTCCCCCAGAAGAGCGGTAGACCCTAAAAACCATGGCGGGAAGAACAAGCAAGCTGCTAGAAGTGATCTGGGCAGACTTGCTCCTGTGATGGACTACAATCTCAATACAAACTAGTAGTCCATCACTGGAGCCAGTTTATATTAATTTTTACTTATTGTACTTAATAAATCGGCTAACTAATCGATTTTGAAAATAATTGTTAGCTGCTGCCCTCACTAAATGTAGAAAAAAAACCATGCCCGATGCCTGGAACTTCATATCCCAGGTGTTGGGCGATAGGAATTGCTCACCCGTGTCGCGGCTCTTCTCCCTTTTCAAGCCGCGGCTCGGTCTGGCCAGACGAGTACGCGGTTCGCTTCATTGCTCCACACATCATCCAGACCTGCCACCATCCACCCCTGGAGCTGTCCACTCCTTGCAAAGGGCTTCTTTCCAGGGACTAGACTCCCAGACGCCAGCTGCTGCCCGACAGGAGATCTTCAGACACACCAGCCGTCTTCCCAACTGTAAGTCTATTGTCCTTACATACAGCTAGCTACCACAAGATATCAGCACTCCCAAAAGGGTAGTAGCGCTCCTAAAGTTTGTATTTGAGTATTGCACCCCTGTGGAAGGGCATTTATTACTCCCACTGACCATGCTGGGGCATTTGTTGATGCAGGAGAGTGTATATATGTATCTCTCCCATTGATTCAGAAGTATATATAGTTCCCATTGATGCAGGGGCATTTATTTCTACTACCAACACCAGGGCATTTATTATCCCCACTTTTATCAGAGGCGTAACTAGAAACCTCAGGGCCCCGGTGCAAGAAAGCATGAATGGCCCCCCACTCCACCCCCCAAAAAAATGCCTTGGGAGTTACCAGGGTAATGCATGTGTATCTTAACTTTATTGCTATCCCACAGGGACTAACAATCCCCGGTGTGATAGCATTCGGAGGTGACAGGCTCTCTTTATGAGCCTGCCCTCCAATACAGAAGATAAAGCACATTTGTGCTCTATCTTGTGTACAGCTCGGGCTGTAACAGCTGACACAGGAGCGCTGCGAGTATAGCAGTCCTGTGTCACTGATCAAGGAGCAGAGCAAAGAACGGAGGTTCTTCACTCTTCATCCTAAACTGCCATGCCGTGGGCTGGGGTCCCCCAGAAGATAAGGAGACCCTGAAAACCACGGCACAGAAGGCAGCCAGCGGTGGGGCGGACAATGGAGGGGGGCAGGCCAGACAAGTCACGAGCAGGCTGCATACAAGTGGTCAGCGGCTGTATAGCTGTACAAAATGGCTCCTGTGCTTTACATTTAGCCCTGCTTGCCCGAAGCAGGGCTCTATGTAGAGAAAAAACAATTGCGCCTGGTGCCTCTTCAGACTGGATGCATGTATACAAAAGATAGGTTGCATTGTCTCGCAGCACAACTAAACACGTGTAAATGCAACGCAAGACATCTCCCTTAAATAAAAACACGTTACATTTTTTGCCGTGAGTGGGGCCTTAGGGAGCCCTGGGTCAGACTGTCAGTGGGCACGCTCTGTATGGCCCACCTCTGGGATTCAGGGGCTGATACTGGCTCCTTGTCATCAATGATGTGATCAACCCAGTTCCCATAAGTTCGCCCATGCTTACTCCTAACTGTGACTGACACCCTACCACATGTGAATGACCGGCCACTACTGATTGGGACAGGTAGGTTGGGGGTGTCAGTCATTATTAGCACAATGATCTGACTGCTAAGCTCCATGTAGATTGATATTCGCACCGCATACATGCTGCCCCTACAATAACACAGAGCACACCTTCTACATACAGTTATGTCACCATGTCTCATCACGTTACATTACGCAACACACATCTCATTAGCTATAAAATACCAGCACGTTATATAAGAGCCGAACCTGCTCCCCAATCCCCCGTCCCCTTTATCACAGCTCCACACTCCTCCCGTACTCACACCTGTGACATGTGACCTCGTCCTTACTTTTCTCCTTGCTGGATACTCCTTCCTACCCAGATAAGGGACCTTAATGACATCACACAGTGGTCATGTGACCAGAGCTATCAGTATCCAGGCCGCACAGTCGCTATGAAGTATCCGGAAGTGAAGGGAGACAAGCTAGGTGAGATGAGCCGATCTCTGCTGGGATCTCTCAGCTTACTGCGACTCAGGCTGGTGGCGGCGGTCACGTGATGGGCGTGTCATCAAGGTCCTGTGTCTGTATAGACAGGAAATATGTGTACCTGTAGAGTGACATTCCACGCTGTTTATAGCGATTATTCCGCTCCGCTACCTAATGATCAACCTGGCCTGACCATGATGATGGAGAGAACATTGATTACAGTGTAGCAGACAGAGGAGCAAAGCAAAGAGACGTTTGTCAGCTGATGTTAATATGAATCTGTTCTCCGCCTACTGATTAACCATTTGTTGTCCGGAGCAATTTTTACACTCACATGATAAAATCTGAATTTCTGTCTAGAAAACAACTTCGGATCCCAAAAGAATTATATATTTTCTGAAAGCAGAGGCCCTGTTGAATAAAAAGATGCTAGTTGCAATTGTTTTATGTCCCACTGTATTTGCACAAATGTTTATCAAACAAGTATTTTTAGGATAAAGTACACTGAAATGAAACACAGTGCACAATATAATGCCCGATTTGTTGGTAAAATATAAGAGATGGGGTCATGCCGGGTAAATAGATACATACGTCCGTAAAACTGCAAAAAACGTTAATAACCATAATTTCCCAAAGGCTGCGCTTTAAACGCTTTTACGGCTCATCAGTTTAGTGTTAACAGTGATTAATGGATCTCGAATTATTGCTCGCACTCCGACACTCACGACGATATGTAACAGGTGTGGCGCAATTTTCACTTTTGCACGTAGGCGCATCAGACGCATGTTTGCGTTGCATGTGCTTGCAGGTGGTGGACAGGGGACTTTAAAACAATATTTTTTTGCATTTTTTATGTGTTACTTTGATTTGTAAAAATTTGTTAACACTCAACTTTATTGCTATCACATAGAGGGCTAACAAGAATGCCCCCTTTATATGACCTGGCCACCCACAGGAACACTTTACCCACATTACCATGGGTCAATTCTTGCAGGAATGCATAGATACATTTTAACATGTTTTAGGCCCAGGTTCAATATCAAAAAGATAGATGAAGAGGCTTATTTATGTACATTTACCAGAAGGCTGTATTTGAAGTCTTCCAATAGAGTCTTGTCCATGTTTGGAGTTTAAAGAACTCGGGGAGCAGTGCAGGGGAGCCGTTTAAGTGCTCGATTTCATCAAGGGTATAAAATAACATAGGTATACTAACCTGAAACCTCACAGCCGGCTGGCTCTTAGACTGATCCATGCAGCCTCTCTTCCCCTCCTCTTCATCGGTAAGGTCCTGTGAATCATCATGTTCTATACACTGTGTATAAGACATGAGGACACAGAGGGACATACTATCGCTGCAGCAGAGGAGGGAGCGCTGTCACAGCCAGCCAGCTGCGAGGTTCAGGTGATTTTTATTTTCATTTTTGCACCTAGATGAAAATGGGCACTTAACCCTTTGCCATGCGGGGGTAGCCCCACTGCAAGGGTTAAGAATAATTTTCCCCAAAGTTCTTCATTAATCATCAGCCATACTGCGTTGGAGTTTACACAGGACTTTCTCTCCTCACTCTTGCTGGTGAACATGGCAGTGAGGAAGTGAAAGGAAGGTGATGATGAGCAGCAACGGAAAGGGGATAGTGGAGGGCAGGCAATTAAAGTGGAACTTAAAGGGGTTCTAAACTTTAAACAGCCCCGATGCTGGCGACGTACACTGTACGTCATCAGTCACGAAGGGGTTAAAATCATTTTAACCCCTTCGTGACTGACAAGGGGTTAAAATCAGGAACTGCTCGTACGGCCGCAAAGGATCTTGGGGCGGGCGCATGCGCAGTTCCGATTCTCGGCCGGGAGACGAGCAGAGACGCAAGATAAGTCTATGGACACGTGCACCCGCCTGCAGATACCGCTGGATCGGAGAGTCAGCGCTGGATCGGAGTGACGTCACACCGCTGGAGGGACACATGAAAACATGGGGAAAGAAGAGGAAGATCGGAAAAAGAGACATCATTTAAGGTAAGTGTTAACATTTACATGGGGGGGAGGGAAAACATTTTTTGCCTTTTATAAATTGCTGGCAGCATTTTATGGCAGAATAAACTCTGGATGTCACTTCTTCCATAAATGCTTCTCCCTGTCTGCTAACATTTTTATGTAAGTGTACACTAAGCTGTGCATGTGTAACCCATGTAAAGTCTCCGCACAATTTTGCGCCAGGATGAAGCAGCTCCCATGTGCATGCTTTGCCAATCAAAATGGCTGAAGACGTCGATCCTGAAAGAAGACCGGGAAAAAAAAAAAAACATTTCTGGCCGCTTTGTTTTGTTGTAAACATAGTATCCATGGATTCCAGTGCATATTGGCACAATATGGAAAAAGCTCCTTGGAGCCCCAAAATGTCTTTTTGGGGCAAAAGACTCTGCTGTTCCTCAACAGATTGTAAGTACATGGAACTTTAAAATATAGCTAATGCTCTGGATAGAGTAGGGAATGGTTACAACTCCTGTCAGAGTTTCTTGCCATCTGTGACCCATTGAGGAAAACTGCCTTCACTTCCTGTTCCATGGACGCAACAGAAAGCTAGAAGAAATCTCTCTAAAGTAAGGAATAAATCTTCATAGATCACTGTCCATTATCCCAATCCTAAATCTACCTTATAGTCTACCTATACTCAGTGTATTTCTACTTTTACAGCCACATTGGGATAACACCTATTTTATATTTGTTACATGTTCCCCTTCACATCGCATAAGCTAAAAAAATGCATCTTGCAGTTTAAATTGCTTTTTACTTGCTAAAATTTCTACTTGGATTCTTCTGGTAGGAGGGCCTGGTGTTAACCCTGTCTATACTGTGCTGGGTCATTTCATTATCATTTAAAGTACATCTGAACACTGCCTAATAAAGGGTTTAAAAAAAAAAATAAACCCTGGTTTCTGTAATGTATGTTAATGAGAGAAAAACATTCAAAATATTTAAATATTCCTCTCTCCAGTCTTTCTATAGGGATAAAGGACTATGACGGAGCTCAGAAAATCAGAAAAACTTGAATTCAGCCATGTTGCCTGCTGCAACAAAACATATAAAAAGGGATTTTTCGATATACTGTGTGAACAAGAACATATAACAAACATATAGAGGGGTTTTCTCAAAATTGACTGCAAAATTAGAAATACACTTTAAACAGACGTGAAGAAACTGACATTTTTTTTGGTGTGTGCCACTCTTTGTTTAGGTCTCATTTACACATGCCAGGCATCGTTTTTTTTAGAAAGCAGCAGTGTGCAGGCATCAGGAGGTGGCAGTATTGCCGCTTCCTGAATGCTTTTTTTTGTTTTTTCCCGATCCCAAATGGATTTTGCATTGCAATACCATGCTGCAACAACATGCCAAGAACTTGGTATGCAGTTGCAGTCACTCAGCATCACCTACTGTTTACATTAAAAGGCTGGCAGGCTGCCAAGTCCCTGGTGCCGGAAAAAATAAGGGGAAGCTGTGATTCAACTGTCTCTGTTTGAAGAATTTCTCTGCAATACCTGCAGCAAAATGGAGCAAATTGGGCCCCTTTTGCAGCACTTACTGTCATTACTTTTGCACGATATTCTAATTATTCGAGTTTCACCTGTAAACACAGCAGACGCTTGTAAACTGTTAGAAACTAACAGAAACCTGACTTTAAAGTCTCTGTTATGATTTTTCTGAATAAATGACTACTTGAATCTAGAGAGGTCAATGATTCCTTGTTTGAAAGCTCTTTTACAGCTTGTTAGGAATATGTTAAAACCCTAATGTTCATAATATGGGAGTGCACTTTGAAGTGGAAAACCAGGCAACAGCTAAGTTCACAGGTGATCTTAATATACGCAGTTTGAACCTGCTAAATGATTTGCAATTCTGGTTGGCCATGTTTGTGATTCCTATACTTCTGCCACACTTCATAGCAACATTCACTTTAGTGTTTCCTGTGTTAGCCTCACAATCATTTTGCCCAACCATCTTGGATCCTGTGGGACTCTCCTGGGATTTAAAACAAATATCAGTGTCCTGTGGATCTGGGATGTGTGCCAGAGTGCTTGTCTATGGGACACATCCCAGATCCATGGTGGAGAGATCTCTGCTGGCAGAGTGATCGGCTCGACAGCTACATAGTTCTGGTGGTGATGTCATGGACATCAGCCTGCCCTCAGAACACTGAGGCCCATCTGTAACCTTTGCAATTCGGCAAACAGCTAAAAGCAGCGACTATACTATTCACTTTTTTCTATAAAATGAACGTGATCAGGTGTGCAGAGGTACTCCAGCACATTGTAAAATCTGTGTGTGCAACAGAAAACATTGCAAAAGTGTATCTCTCCCCAGATAATACTTCCTTGCCCTGCTCATTGATAAACTGTGGCAGTGTTTTAATGTGGCCCTGTGCAAAACATAGCTATCTCACTCCAGCTCTCCTCCCAGGTTCCCTTTATAAGAGGGAACATTTTTATTTATTGCACTAAATCAGAAGTATAATCTTTTTTATACATTACACAACATATACTGTATACACAAAATTGAATATTGTGTTTTGAGGTATATATAAGATGTCAATTAGAAAAGTCATCTGATTTACTTCATATTCTTTTGTTATTTTATCTCATGATAATATTTGCATCAAAAAGTTCAGTTCAGAAAAATAAATACTGTTATTTGTTGCCTCTTTTTCCCATGTATCATTCTTTATTTCTGCCTGCCAGATTTCCTTATTTTGGTCTACGCAAGAGAGGTAATGCATTTAGGAGGCTGTATGAAGACTCCTGAAAGTGACTGGCCTCCTTTAGTTGCATGGATAGTTACTTGTGCGCAGTCTTTATATAAGATTTCTATAATTCACTGTTATTTGTGCAACCTCATTGTTCTTTCTGCTGCCTTACTGATTCACTCAAAGATGGAAACCTTGAT